TCACTTAGCATTCCAGGCACTTGATCATTTTAAAGCTGAAGCTGGCAGATTTCCTGTTGCTGGCTCAGAAGAGGACGCTCAGAAGCTTATATCGATTGCCACAGCCATCAATACCGGGCAGGGTGATTTAAAGGTGGAGAATGTTGACCAGAAGCTTCTACGACACTTTTCCTTTGGAGCCAAGGCTGTCCTGAATCCCATGGCTGCAATGTTTGGCGGTATTGTTGGACAGGAGGTTGTTAAAGCTTGCTCTGGAAAATTTCATCCTCTCTTCCAGGTAATATTTATTTTCTATAGACTTGTGGGAACACGTATTTTAGTCTTTGCATGCCAAATTGCCAATTTCCCTGTTCGAGTTAAGAATTTTAAACACAAGAATTAAAACCCAAAGCTCTCTCTTGTTAAAACCGAATCAAAGTAACAAGACAAAAGTTGAAAAGCACCCAAGAGTAATAAAATCCAAAGCTCTCTTCATATATTAGAAGCTAAAAAAAAGCTGTTTAGATAAAGTAAATAAGGATGTAGAAACATTATCTTTTACGTATCCCCCTTTTTCTAATGTTTATGTTGCGTGAAGTTACAGCTGCTTACTCTTTTTTTGACACTTGCATATTGTTTATAGTTTCGTATTGGGATCTAATATTGAAATTCTTTTTTTTTTTTATTATCAGTTTTTCTACTTTGATTCAGTGGAGTCACTACCCACTGAACCTCTGGACTCGAGTGACTTTGCACCAAGAAACAGCCGGTATGATGCCCAAATATCTGTATTTGGGGCCAAGTTCCAGAAGAAACTTGAAGATGCTAAAGTTTTCACAGTAGGGTCTGGTGCTCTTGGCTGTGAGTTCTTGAAAAATATGGCTCTGATGGGGGTTTCTTGTGGAAGCCAAGGGAAGCTGACAGTGACAGATGATGATATAATTGAGAAGAGTAACCTCAGTCGTCAATTTCTGTTCCGTGACTGGAACATCGGACAGGCTAAATCCACAGTTGCTGCTTCGGCTGCTGCTGCTATAAATCCCCGCTTCAACATTGAGGCCCTGCAAAACCGTGTTGGCGCTGAGACTGAGAATGTATTTGATGATGCCTTCTGGGAGAACTTAACTGTTGTCGTCAATGCACTGGATAATGTCAATGCGAGGCTCTATGTTGATTCGAGGTGCTTGTATTTCCAGAAGCCTCTCCTTGAGTCTGGAACTCTTGGTGCAAAGTGCAACACACAGATGGTTATCCCACATCTAACTGAAAATTACGGTGCCTCAAGGGACCCACCAGAGAAACAAGCCCCCATGTGTACAGTGCATTCGTTTCCGCATAACATTGATCACTGTTTAACTTGGGCTCGCTCTGAGTTTGAGGGTCTGCTGGAGAAGACTCCCGCTGAAGTGAACGCATATCTCTCTAGCCCAGTTGAGTACACTAACTCAATGATGAGTGCTGGTGATGCTCAGGCGAGGGACACATTGGAGAGGATTCTTGAGTGCCTTGACAAGGAGAAGTGTGAGACCTTCCAAGACTGCTTAACCTGGGCTCGATTGAGGTATTATCACTCTCTTAATAGTTACGTTTAGATAGTCTAGTCGTAATTATGGAATGAAAGAAAGTATGGTGTCTTAGTCATGTACTGCTACAGTCTCTATTTTTTATGCTTTTGGCATGTGCTTCACCCAGGGTTTGTTAATTATTCTTTGAAAAATCATTAGGAATCTTAAAATCAATTTTTAGGAACAATGTTAGTATCTGACATCAGTTCGCAACAGGTTA